TTTCAGGTAAAAATTTACTTAGTCAAGAGCTGTATCGGACTCAATAGCAATGTAGAGTAGTCCAAATGGAATAGATGTGAGCTTAAAGAGAATCAACACATCAGTAACGATGGTCACGTCCATTTTCCAGCCATGTAACTACTTTATTGGTCCTTCGAAAATATTTTTTGTAGTAAGAAATGATAAGGATTTAATGATTTGATAATGGTGGTAATGATTAGGGTACATACGATCGAAGAAATGAGAATGACAATCATGAGCTTATTAGTCTTTTTAAGAGTTTAGATTAGGATATTAGAAGCCACTGTTTCAATTTTTATTCGTATACTGTTAGTCATCATTTGACATCAAGATTGAAACTTGATTATAGATTTGGACTCTATGGCTTATGGACAGCGTGTCCATGTAATCAATTTCGGATTTTGGACAGTTGATCCGAGGGGCCGATTTGAGTTGATCAAGAGTTGACGTTGACCCGAGGTGTCATAAATTACGGGATTAGTTTCCCTAGACTAATTTGAACCTGTTATTTATATTATTGAATAGATTGAGGCTACTGGAGGTCGTTTGAAGAGAAGTTGGCATTTCAAGAGAGGTTTGTGCACCGGTTATAAGACAAGTAAAGGCTTAAACTCTTAGATTACTTGTTTATCATTAAAAGGACATGATTTGTATTTTATATACGCATTTAAACCATTTAGTTTGTGTGAATGGGCGAGCATGATCTAAAGTGGATAAATTTTCAAGTGTCTAAAGTAATTGCCGTTTGAGGTAGATGAACATTTACTCCACTTTATCATAACTTCATAGGAGCATACTCCGTTAGACCCCAGTGGGTTTGGTAGGAGGTAGATGCTAGAGTTATAAGTGACCCGGATAGGATTGTGGGTAAATAATCCTCACTCTAGTAGAGAGGGTAAGACATGGGCATATACATACAGGGATGGATTCGCAGCTATAGTTACTTTTAGGGGTCGTCAGAATGCACATTTATGTTAAACATCGACTCAATATGTATATTCTAAAATCTAAAACTTGTAAACTCAAAATCCTAGCTCCGTCTATGATACTGGTGCAAGTCATCCACCAAACAGGCCTGAGTTCGATTTCCACTGTTCCCTTTCTCCTCTCCCCTCCCCTTCCTGTTCCATTCCGTTCCTCACTTCCTCCCCTCAATGGGAATGCTCAATAGTTGCTTATAGATATAACAGCCTGAAGCAACACTCAATTCAGCCATCCGGAGCAGATATATCCGATATTCGTGCTGGTTGGCTGCTCGAAGGATTACCTCAAATTGCACCCACATTTTCCAAGATACCTTTTTTATTTAGATTGGGGGCAGGGGAAGGGGATTATAAGGTGAGAAATCGAAATTGAAATCGAAATCTCATCAACTGAACTACTAAGATTTTCCGTTTTACTAAATGAAATAAGAAAAAAGAAATCAAAGTACCAACCTTCAATTCGTATCGCCATTGCCATTTCTCTTGAGCTTCCTCTGTATCTATCGGCTCTCCGATGAAACATGCATTACTCTTCTGCTTCCTCACACTTTTCTCTGCTGAATTTTTTATCCGTTTCATTTCCGATCCTTTACTCTCATTATAATTAACACTCCCTTGTATTTTTCTCGATCTTAAAGTCTTCTCTCCCACTGAATTACTCTCAGCCGTTATTTTTTCCGATGTTCCCGGCGATTCAGCAAAAACTGGATCTTTCCTCCGAGATCCTCGTGAATTGTTCCCTGCATTTACTGAATCACTCCCCCTGGCGCCGCGTTTCTTCGACGCGCTGCCGTTCGCCGCCGGCGTCATCATCAAAGCCAGCAGTTCCCGCTTCGTGCCGGTTCTTCCGCCGGGGGCGAGTGTACCACACGCGCTCTTCTCCGGCAATGCTAATAGCTCTAATTGAACTCCATTTGATGAATCGGAATCGAACCTCGGAGATTTTCGGCTTTTTTCATCCATTTTTGAACTTGCCGATTTCCGTTTCCTCGATAGTTCCACTTGTTTTATTATACCCTCTGATTTCCTTGAATTTACTTTTTTGCCCTTATCCTCCGCCGTCGTTGTCCTTGCTGACAGTGATACCAATCTCGGCGACCTCCTCGTACCTTCCGCCGGAGGTGTTTTTCCAGGCAATGTAGGTGGTGATGGAAGAAGAAAAACTGTTCTTTCAGGTGAAATGCTGTTCCGATTTTTCCTCATGAATTCAGTAGCAGTAGTAGCACTAGTACTGAATTTGTTGGTAGTGAATCTAGAAGATCTTCTCCTAACTGATGGACAAAACACTATCAATGGAACTGGTTCTTCATTTTGAGGAAAAGGAAAAGACAGAGCTAATGCATCTGGATTTGGTGATGGAGATGAAATGGGTTTGGTTTTTTTGGGTGATGGAGTTAGATTTGTAGAAATTCTTGAAGAATTGTTTTGCTTTTTCGCCATTTTTATTTGGAAATTGCCAAGAATAGGAGGTGTTTTACAGAAGATAACAGGGGAACAGGATTGGTCAAAATAGTATGGAATTTTAGTTATTACAAGGTTATATTTGTAAATATGTCAGCCTTTTAAGGTAGACACTATACTTGGTATTTTCATAATTTGATTTCTATATTTGATTAAATAATTGAAAGCAAATATCAAATATCTAAAAATAGAAAGAAAAAATAATAATATTTGATTTGGTACTTTCGTAGTTAGATTTCGATACTTTGATATAACTAATTAAAAGTAAATATCATATATGAAAGTTTTAAATTAGGTTTGGTATTATAAACTTTTATTTGATTTGATTTTTAATGATTTATACTCTGATTTAGTTAGGAGTAATACAAAATTGCAACTCTTTTGGCATATTAATAAACCTATCATTCAAATTGCATTATGTTATATGTGTTTGTTATGCATATATTTCTTGTGACTTTGAATAAAAAGACATTTTTAAAATATCATATGAAAATTGTTATTATTACTCGAATTTGTCTGAATGTGTGATATTAGTAATACACTTTGATATAATCGTCATTACATATGCTATGATTATTTTACAATATGAGTTATAAATTGTTTTTTTTCATATTTACTTATTTAACTTTATATAAATTTAAATATTTATGTATTACTCCTATATCATTATTTAACAAAAGCAGTTAAATTTACTTAAATTTTATCAAAAGAAAAAAAAAAGTTTATGCCTGGGAAATCGTGCAAGTGGAAAAGTGGGAAAGGACAGTTAATCTCACGTGTAATGTAAATATGGATTGTGGTAAAATTTAGTTCAAAATTTAATTTTTTGTCTTTGCTCTGACTGAAACTGGATAACCAAATCTAGTCTACTTTTGCTTTTAAGAATTTTCAAAAATCAAATTTATGGCTCCAATTTTTTAAAAAGTGGGACCAAAAAGATAGAGTACTTTTTTAAAAAAATTATTTTTATTGTTAATTATTTTAAAATAGATTTTGTTTTATTTGTACTTTTAACATATAAAAAAAATAACTTTTTTTTCCATATTTATCTTATATTAATTGTTATTCCCTAATCAAACATTAATTAATAGGATAGTAATATGGTAAAAAAAAAAAGTCATGTTAATTTTAGTTTTCCATATTTATGTGTCAAGTCAAAATGTGACAAATAAAGTAACTCTAATTTACCTTTAGATTTCTTTCTTTTATGGAAGTCAAGTTCAATTAGTTCGTATGATTTTAATTTGATAGAGAGTTTAAGAAAGTATAAAAGACTGTTATATGCAAAGTTTTTAAATTAAAGATATGTAAAATGTATTGTCTTTTAATTTTGTGATTTTAAACATGACATGTAAAAAGTTGGATCAAAAGACTCATTTGAATCTACTATATGAAATCATGATTTAAAATCAAATTGATATAAAGTTACAGTTTTGCTTGCAATTTATATATTTCAAGTTAGCATTTATGTCCTTAATTCTTACACAATCTTATCAAATTAACAAACCATAGTTCATTAATAAGATATCGAAATATCCTAAGGTACTGCATTGATAAACCGCATATCTCCATGTTGCTTTTATTTATAAATATTTGTTATTACAAACTTTTAAGTATATACAATTTTATAAAGTTCTACTAGTCAATAATAGCAGTAACTAGTTATTTTAATATAATCATTTCACACTATACGAACGATCTCTTCATGCCAAACAAGATTTATTTAAAAGAAATATAAACTTATAAGTCAAGTTTTATATAAAAAAAAAATTAAAATCCTAATCACTCTTTTTGAGAATTTGATTCTATAAATCATGATTTTAAATCGCACATTCAGACACTGATTTAAAATCTTAAAATCACAACTGCATATCACGTATCCGATTGCAAACAAAGAGTTACTAAAAGACAAATTTGAGATTTGAACTCATGATCTTATATTGCACATTCAATTGATGATTTAAAATTATGATTGGATATTGCATATTCAAACACATTTTCTCTAGCTGTTGCTGGGCACTTCTCTGACTAAAGCAACAAGCAGCTTTAAGAGTTACATCGATTTGCCTTCTTGCTTGATTGACTGGATTAAGACCGAGGAACAACTATGCATTACTTCTTTCATTTCAAATTCAAGAATACAGTCGATACAATTAATTGGTTTGTGCCCCTCTCTTGTTACTTTTTTGTATTCTCCTGTTCTTCGGAGACAATTCGATCCTTTTATGGTCAAATCTCAATTTGTGGAAAGCCTTCGATGGCAGATGAATGTTTGTTGTCAACCTCAATCCTTCGATTTTTGAATTGGAATAAGGAGTTCCATGTTCATACTGATGTGTCACTCTATGCCAATGGATGTATGTTGGCGCAAAAATGACCGCTTGATCACTCCATCTACTTTTAAAGTATACGACTTTCTGAAGTAAAACAATTACAAAAAAACCAGATAAGCATTTTTCTAAAGCAGATAAAAAAGAAAAGCGAGACAAACAAATTGAAACCCGAGTATGTATGTATATATATATTCAATAAAATTCTTTATTACAAATGAGTAAACCAAATTCCCTCTTTTGCTTCTTGTTATGAAATTCCCTCAGTTTCCATATTTCTTCAAGTTCCAATCTTTCCCTCATTTTCACAAGCTATTCTTTTCCTCACAACCAAAATGGAATTCCAAGCACAACCCAAATCTTGTAATCACCCACCCAACTCTTATCCTCATAGAATCTTGCAATTCAATTTCACACATAAAGCAAATTCAAGCCAATATGATACACACTGGCATGATTTCACACATTTTCCCTATCAGTAGACTTATATCCTTTTGTGCTTTGGATGTTAATGGTGATATAAACTATGCAAATGCTTTGTTTTCAGAAATTAATGAACCTAATGTGTATATTTGGAATACTATGATAAGGGGTTTTGTTAAAAATCAGTTCTTGGAAATGAGTTTTTGTTTGTTTAGGAGAATGGTAAGGGAAAAGGTTGAAATGGATAAGAGAAGTTATGTTTTTGTGTTGAAAGGGTGTGGGGTTTTGGAGGGGATGGGGGTGCATTGTAGGATTTGGAAAGTTGGGTTTTTGAGTGATTTGATTGTGAGGAATGGTTTGGTTCATTTTTATGGGGGAAGTGGGGAAATTGTTGATGCACAGAAGGTGTTTGATGAAAGTCCTGTTAGGGATGTAGTTACTTGGACTAGCTTGATTGATGGGTATGTGAAAATGAATATGGTTGATGAGGCATTGAGGTTGTTTGATTTGATGTGTTCAAGTGGTGTTGAGTTTAACGACGTTACGTTGATAACTGTGTTTTCTGCGTGTTCGTTGAAGGGGGATTTGAGTCTGGGGAAATCGGTTCATGAACTTGTGGAGAACAGAGGTGTGGAATGCAGTCTTAATTTGATGAATGCCATATTGGATATGTATGTGAAATGTGGTTGTTTGCCTATGGCTAAAGAGATATTCGATAAGACGGAGATCAAGGATGTGTTTTCATGGACAAGTATGATCCATGGCTATGCAAGAAATGGGGAGGTAGACTTGGCAAAGAAGTGTTTTAGTGTGATGCCTGAACGAAATGTAGTTTCTTGGAATGCGATGATTGCTTGCTACTCGCAAAATAATAGACCTTGGGAGGCCCTTGAACTCTTCCTTGAAATGGAGAAACGAGGTTTGGTTCCCATGGAAAGCACTTTGGTCTCTGTGCTCTCTGCTTGTTCTCAATCTGGTTCTTTGGATTTTGGTCAACGAATTCATGATTACTATATTAAGCAAAAACGGATTAAATTCAGTGTGATCCTGGCAAACGCATTAATAGACATGTACGGAAAATGTGGAAACATGGATGCAGCTGGAGAGCTCTTCCACGAAATGCAAGAAAGAGATTTGGTCTCCTGGAATTCAGTAATAGTAGGATGTGCTTCTCATGGTCTCGCCGAGAAGGCTGTCACTCTTTTTGAACAAATGAAATGCTCGGGACTCAAGCCTGATAGCATCACATTTGTGGGTGTTCTATCAGCATGTGCTCATGGTGGATTGGTCAATCAAGGCTGGGAGTACTTTAGGAGCATGGAATTAAATGGCTTGATTCCCGGGGTGGAACACTATGCTTGCATGGCTGATTTACTTGGCAAATCAGGGCATCTGAAAGAAGCTTTTGAGTTCACAAAGCAAATGCCGGTGGAACCTGATAAAGCTGTTTGGGGTGCTCTGCTTAACGGTTGTCGGATGCATGGAGATGTTGACCTAGCCAAGGTTGCTGCTGAGAAACTTATAGAACTAGATCCTCACGATAGCGGTATTTATGTGCTTCTTGCAAGCTTGTGTGCTAATGAGAGGAAATGGGCTGATGTTAGAATGGTTAGAAGTTTGATGAGAGCTAAAGGTGTAAAGAAGAATCCAGGACATAGTTTGATAGAGGTCGACGGTAACTTCTACGAATTTGTGGCTGCTGACGACTCACACCCCGAATCTCAGGCAATACATAAAATGCTTGATGAGATTATATTGCTCTCTAAGTTAGAAGAATATGTTTCTGATGCACAGCCAGAACAAACATGACAAATACACTGTGATCCAGCCAGTAAGTCTTGACAGGCATGGAAGCACTTCCAATTCCTCCGGTCAGTAATTACTAACTCGTGATTGATCCATTTAACACTGAAGCTGGTCAATAGGTGAGTTTCCCCATATAGCTTGCTGCAAGTTTGAAGGTGGAATCAGCTTGCAACTCTTCGAATAATTGGGATGTTGTATGAAGAGGATGAAGCACCTTCTCGAAGCATTGGACCAAAGATTGCTGGGAACATTATATACCAACAATTTTCAGGTATTGGGCACCTTGTTTTAGTTCTAGTAAATGCTGAATCACAGAACATAGCTCGCTTACCAAGTCGCCCATTTGATGAGTACACTTTTAGATACAATATAACTATTACCATACAGATCATAGCTCGCCTACCAAGTCACCCATTTGAGTAGTTGCCAGGAAAAAAATGAGGAGGAAACGAAGTTGTCCACGAAGCTTTTGAATGTCCCTAGAAGGGCCTTCCTTAGCTTTCACCTATTTACCTAAAATCTCAACACTGAGTATTCTACTAATTATCTAAATTACATGTCATACTAAACATTAGTTAGCTTTTTCTAACGGAGAATTATGATATCAATCAAGTTAGAATCAACTATCTGAATGTTCAGTACTGTCATATACGTAAATATGTATATATTGTTATGTTTAGTTGACATAATACCCTTTGATAATTCATCCTCTAGTAAGAGACTCATAATTTGGATTATATTCATGAAGAACCCACTCTTTGTCAGTGGGATTATAGCGATATGTGAAGTTCTCATCAAACTTCCATTCACAAGGCACCGAATGGCTAACACACTCATAGTCGGATTTAAACGCCACAAATGTTCCTTTTTGTGGGACTGGCTAAAAATGAAAATAAGTCATATAAATTGGGATAGAGGGAATGACGTTCATTCTCTATTTTTAGACTTCTCTAATTTTTTTGGCATAATACATAAATATGTCTTTTAACTTGATCTCATTTCACAATTATGCTCTCCTACTTTGGGCATGCACAAGTAGACACTTAAACTTGTATAAAGTTGAACAAATAGACACACATGTCATAAGTGACATTGTACATGTAGGATACCACGTAGGACACAAATTGTCTTGTAGGATGTCACGTATGACATGTGTGTCTATTTGTTTAATTTTATACATATTTAAGTATCTACTTGTGCACACCCAAAGTTGAAGGACATAAATGTGAACTGAAACCAAGTTAACAGACATATTTATATATTATTATTTTTTTACGGGGAGAAAGCCGAAGAAAACAAGGGGAAAAGTGTATCATGAATGCGTCGAAAATGTGGAAGGTGAAGGTGACACATTTAAAAATGAATGTTTTTTCACTACTGTCAGTAAAGATTCATAGTAGGAATAGATGAGCCAAACTTTTAACTGATGATATAGATAAGTCTTTCTCAAAGTTCGATGTCATATTTGAGCCATTTCTCTATTAAAAATATAATTCAATTAATAACATGGCCGAATCATAATTGAACACGTGCAAAAATGGTTTGCAAAATCGAAAAGATTTTCAGTTAACAAATAATAGCATGGATGAGTTTTTCCTCAAACGAAAATGACATTTATAGATGAGCCAAACTTTAACAAATGACATAAATAAATATCTTTCCTCAGAATTGATCAATAGCATATTTAAGTTTTTTCCCCGAATCGAATAATATGCATGATATGCATGTAGTCGACAAGAAAGAAATGAGGGATGAAGCTATCCATAAAGCTTTTGAGTGTCCCTCCCCCCACCCCCCACCCCACCCCAAAAAAAGGGATCTCCACAAATTCATCTATTTGTCTAAAATGTCACATTGAATATTTTACATGTCCTTGTTAGTTAACATAATACCCTTTGATGACACCTCCTCTAGTAAGAGACTCATAATTCGGATTGTATTCATGAGCAATCCACTTTCGCTCCTTGGGACTATATCGATAGGTATAGTTCTCATCAAATCTCCATTCACAAGGCGTTGAACGGCTAACACACCCATAGTCGTATTTAAATGCAACAAATGTACCCATGTTTGTGGAGCAATTGTACATTGTTGAAGAGGAGAAGAAATTTTTGATTTTGACAGTGATGTTGAAACTGCCCTTGGTACTTAGGTGCTTAACATTGCCATCTTCTACGAAGGAGAAGCAACGGATGCTAAGATAATTTGTATGATTATTGGTTATAACAACAATTTTTTCATCTGGTAATCCTACCGCAATGTTTAAGAGAATTATATTGATCATCAACATGAACAATATTGTTGTTGAGGTGAAAGTTGCAACAATTTTAGCTTCTTCCATTATTTATATATTTCCTTTTCTTTTTCTGTTTTCCTCCTGAAATTTCAAAATGTTGAAAAAGATTTAGAAGAAATTAAACAATCATGAATGAACATTCAAGTTTTATATTGGCATAAAAAATATTGAATTTTTCTAGTAATGTAAAATTTGCTATGCATGGTTTTGTTATATAAAATGAATATTGCCTACGAATTTTTTTTAAAAATCTTTGATTCCCAATGGACAACATGAATAATATATAATTGCAAATGTTTATTCATATATGGGGTTTATGGAGGGGTTTATTTTTGCTTTTGGTAATCGATTCATCATATTGGAAGAAGGTAATTAAGATCTTTTTCTACTAAAGATTCAAATATAATATCGGTCAATCTTATTCAGATATATCAATCAAATAATTTGTTTATCAGATTATCTTTTTGGTAAAAAAAGGAAAAGAAATAACAAATTAAGAAAGTATCGTTGAAAGAGAAAATGTACCTTCAAAGCCGATTTTCTTGATGATTAAAACCAAAGTTTTAACAATGTTTTTCTATGTAAGGGTTTTAGAAAGAAACTTGAAAATGGATTTTTTCAAGCAAGGATTAACAAAGACGATTTCTTTTCTTCTTTTTGATTTGTTAAATGATTAAACCTCTCTTGCTATATATTCATAGGTCAAAAATGAATGAGAGGGATAGAGTTCTTCTAGGAAATCTTAAATCTCTAAATACTATTTTTAAGTATTTACTATTTTTGAACCTTCAAAAGAATTACAAAAAATTCTCAATTTAGATGATAATGACAAACATAATCCTTGAGGGTAGATTAAAAATAATCCCTTAAGTATGTATTAAACAATTTTGATCCCTTAAATTTATCAAAAGCCAACACTTTTAGCCTCCATAAAATAGTTAACAATATATATTTATTGATTTGATCTAAATAGTGAAAAAAAGATTTAACCATAAATACCAAGAAAGTCTCATTAAATTTTAAAAGCATAATACACAAACATACATGTAAATTTGACCTCAGCTGGCAAGTAAACCTTCGAGTGTTAAGAGTCCAACAAAGACTTCCATAAAAAGGTTTCATTCATTTTGATTGAGGAATTTCTTACTGACCGCTAAATCTTCTCTACTTTTGAAGATAGACTGGACAGCAAGCCCACATAATAGCCAAGTGGAATTAGTTAGACTACCTATATGCAGATAAACTCTACCTAGACGGAGAATAATCAATTCGTTCATTCTGATTATGCCCCAACTCCCAAGTCCTATCTCCTTCAATAAAGGATCAATTCCTTTTCTATTCTCTAACTTCTACTTGGGGTCACTACTGATAAAGATTCTTCATTAGAGTTGACTTTTTTTTTTTTGCTCCGATCCTTAATTCACCCTTGACTGCATTCCCGAAAATATCATTTTCATTTGCTGAATCTGCTCCTTTTGAGAATGGTTTTACCCTGTTCATCAGTTTGAGCTTTGAAAGTGCACATTTAGATACCTCATTTTGGTCTCAAGGAGCAACTAGACACTTCAACTCCTCCTCACTGTGTCTCGTGGACACCCAAACTGACATGGAACATAAAATTTTGAAAGAATCTAGATGATCATTTTGTAACTTGGAGTATTCACATGACATTCGAGACATTTATATTGATCATGAACAAGAATAATATTATTGTCAAGGTGCTAGTTGCAACAATTTTAGCTTCTTGCATGGTTATATGTTCCTTTCCTTAGGTTGCTTTCTTTTTAATTACGTGGATTATAATGCTGACACTAAAGATTGTCTTCCTATGGAAATATTTGTGTTGCCTTATGATGAATTGGAATTGTTGGGTAAGAATACATTATATTTTGAAATGAAATGTTAGGATTACTATTAACTACTTTTAACTTATTTTTGTATCCTTCAATTGTCTGCACACTCTCTATGTCACATCAATATAAAATAGTTCAGATGAGTAATTGGACCCAAGTTAAATTTAATTAGTGTATCATTAAAATTTCAGATATAGTTCGAGAGGATACTTATACCTTTTTCGAAAAAGAAAATCCAAATAAGGTAAAATTAGGGGAAACAATTAACATGTACCGTTGTGTTTCAATAATTTATAATTGAATAAATGTATCACGAGTTTAAATTCACAACCAATATGGTAGAAAGCAATTTAATTTAAATTAGTTGTCGGCCATGGTGCTTCTTTTATGCGTATTCTAAGAGCTACTCAAACATTATAATTTATTATGTACGAACAAAATATGCTAGTGAGTCTCAAATAAAAGATAAAGATATTATAGACATATGAGAACACTCTTTTTTATTTATATACATTCAGACAGGACTAATACTTAATTACTCTTGTGAAAATAATTCTTTTTATTTAGTTTTTACTTTGCACAAAAATTCCTTTTATAAATAAGTACTCATATGATCATGTCATTTTGTATCTGAATCTTCATATTGTTTTGAAATATATTATGTAATACTTTTGATGAGTCCTCTAGTAAGAGATTCATAATTTGGATAAAATTCAATAGTATGTAACTTGATGCCGTTAAATAGATACATAACATAAATTCAATAATATGTAAATTGACCAGTACATGTTGTGAGTTGTGACCCAACCATACCGATCATAAAGTTTGCTTACCAAATCACCCATTTGAATAGTCTCCAAGAAATGAGGAAGAAGCAAAACTATCTATGAAGTTGTTGAGTATTGTGTAAGGACATCAACTTCACCTATTATTCTAAGATC